GGAGGTTGAGGCAGGAGACTCGCTTGAGCCCAGGAGTTGGAGGTTGCTGTGAGCTGTGATGCCACAGCACTCTACTCAGGGGGAAAGCTTGAGGCTCTGTCTCCAAAAAAAAAAAAAAAAAGTTTGAAAACCATGGATGCCTCTAAGGATCTCCCAACTTTAACAGTCTCTGGTCCTAATTCCTAAGAGTCAGGGATGGAATTGGGGTCAAGCAGGTGAGTCACTAGCCTCAAGTACAAAAATTAAGGTGTGCCTAAGAGTGCCATAATAAAGATAAACAATAGTTCAATGCAGTATTTATTTACTTAAAGCAAAAAAATCCACAATGAATGAAAATATCAAATATTTAAAGACAAGGTTAGTATTACTGGTGTTTTCTTTTGCCTTGGGCTCCATTATAGCTCGTCTGGCACTGCTGGAGGGGACCCCGTGGAGCATCTGGAGTTGCTGAGCCCAACCCAGGCCTCATTTGCTGCTGTGACACTACTCAGGCTGGTCTCAAACTATGGAGCTCAAGCAATCCACCTGCCTCAGCCTCCCAGAGTGCTAGGATTACAGGTGCGAGCCACCACACCAGGCTGAGGGTCCCGCTCTTAATTGTTCAGCTCTTCAGAGCTGGATGTCAGAGCAAAGGTAAAATGAGAGAGGAACGCACAGCCGGGCACACTGCAGGTGCTCAGCATGTGTTAATCCGCCTCCCTCCCGCACTTCCTGACTGGAGCCAGTTGGGAAGCTGGAAGGTGTGCTGCTCAGCTTTGACACCCTATTGGAATCACCAGGCACCTTCCCCTCCCTCCAGCCTTCCTCCCCTGTGCCCAAACCCCAGGCTGCTGTCCAACTCCTGGCTCCAAACAGTCCTCCTGCCTCTGCCTCCCAGAGTGCTGAGCTTGCAGGTAGGGGCCACCGTGCCCAGCCAGAGTAAAGTATGTGTGGGTAGTTTTAAAAGTCCTCCAGGTGATTACAATATGCATCAAGGCTCTAAGGAGGCCACAGTTGCACCAACCTTAAGGCCTTTGTCCCTCATCAGTGTCCAACTGCACTAATGCACATGAGGGTGTAGGGGAGTCAGCGCAAAGCCTGCTGTGGAGCTCAAGGAAGCTTCCATCCCACACATCTGCACAGCCTCCAGCAAAGCTATGCTTCTTTCTCTCCTCCACATAAAGAGACAATGGCCACAATGCTTAGAAAGGCCCCTTGGACTGCAAGGGAAGCCCTGGGAGCAGGGAGAAAAGGGTAACTCCTGAGCTGGTCAGCTGTCATTGCAAGATTCTCTTTCCCTCCAAAGAGTACCAAGGTGAAAGAAGCAGAGACGAGCGAAGGCCTTTCCTAACAGCCATTGGCCGGTGGAAAGATGGCTGCTTGTGGGCAGCCTCACCAAGCAGACATACAGCTAGTGAGTGAGATGGGAAAGGGACAGATGAGGAAGGCTGGAGGAAGGGAATGAATGAATGAGTGAATCAGGGAAGGGGAGGGAGGAAAAGGAGGCAGGAAAAATAAACAGCAGATGGATGAACCACTGGATGGCCAGAAGAAGAGCTGAACAATTAGGAGCAGGACCCTCAGCCAGGCATGATGGCTCACACCTGTAATCCTAGCACTCTGGGAGGCTGAGGTGGGTGGATTGCTTGAGCTCAGGAGTTTGAGACCAGCCTGAGTAACAGTGAGACCCTGTCTATACTAGAAATAGAAAAATGAGCTGGGTGTTGTGGTGAGTGCCTGTAGTCCCAGCCACTTGGGGGGCTGAGATAAGAGGATCATTGAAGCCCAAGAGTTTGAGGTTGCTGTAAGCTATGATGCCACAGCATTCTACTCAGGGTGACAGAGTGAGACTCTGTCTCCAAAAAAAAAAAAAAAAAAAAAAAGGGCGAGACCCTCACTACTCCAAGTGCCGCCCCTGGCCCAGCAGCAGAGGTATCACCTCTGAGCATTTAGAAGTACAGACTCTCAGGCCCCTCCCTGGCCTACTGAATCTGCATTTTAACACACTGACCATCACACTAGAGAAAAAAATTCTTTTCCTTGGACCTTATTAGGTCAAGATAGATCAAGAGATGTGTGAGTTACATATGCTTTGCGAGGCCCCAAGCTCAAAACTAGCATAAGTTAAATTCAACTCACGTGGCAGTTAATGTGTTAATAAGATCTCCAAGTGAGTTGCAGGCACATGAAAATTTGGGAAATTATTAAATTATCAAGTGTCTCCTAATCCTAGCTAGTTACATTACAATCACACTAAGAATTAGAATAAAGATAGAAACTCCTAGCCCCTACCTCAGGTCAACTAGGCCAGACCTCTACAGGTAGGGCCTAGGCATGCTGTCTGCCTAGTGACCTGAGGCAATCACAAGGTCCAGCCACAGCTGGGTACAATCAAGGCAGACCACTTGGGCTCAGGGCCTCAGTGCCTCAGCCCAGCCACATCATCCGTATGTCTGACTGGCTGAGAGCAGCCCCGCTCTGCTCTTCCCAGATTCTCTCTTTCTTGTCCCCACCTGGCGGGAGCTGCCTCTGAGACACTCTTCATTTGGCAGAGCTGTCTGAGGGGAGAGGAGGCCTGTCACCCTTGTCCAATCCATTACCACCAGCCCCTGCCCAGAGCTACCCCAGGGCCAGCTGCTCCCAGCCCAGTGGCTGTGAAAATCACCAAGGGGACTCAGGGACCAATGGACCTTAAAACCAAGGCCTTTGGATCTGGCTCCATTGTCAACACTCTGGGGTCAAACAAAGATACAGCTTTAAGGTCACCATCCGTGAACGGTCTTCCAGAACTTTTAGCACTGAGGTGGCCAACCGATGGCCAGCAAAACAATTTCCTTTAGCCTAAGCAAAAATTTTAAATTGAATATAGTTGTTAAAATCTAGAGCTTTTATTTTAAAGATCTTCTAGATTCTAGTAGAAAATTTACATATCTGGGAACAAGTCCCTGGAGCTGTGTTGGAACCCACATGGTTGGCAGCAGCAGCTCAGTCCTTGAGCCCCGGCATCTCCATCCCTACCTGACCTGTTTTGCTCAAGGCCCTGCCCACCCAGCTCCTGGAAGGGGTTGACTTTACAGGCCCTGAATTCCAATCCAGTCCTTCCTCTGGAGAAGCTAAGGACCTGGGCAAACAGAAGCACAGACTATCTCTGCCTTGAAGCCCAGATCTCCTGTGTTCCAGGTGGCCTCATTCCTTCCAAAGCCACCCAGCCCTTGTGGGAAGCTGAAGTTCACAGAAGGGCCAGCTTTTGCGAGAAGCAAGAATGCAGTTTAATTGGATATGTTACTCCAGGTTCTGCTTCCCTATGCCTCATCCGCCCTCCCCAAAGGGAGAGCCAATCAACAGCCAGTCCATCCCAGGGAAGGCCTGGGAAGTGACATTCCCTGAGAGAAGTAAGGGCAGAGCTCCCTGGGGAAGAGAGACTGGGCAAGGGAAGGGGAGAAGCTCCAGAGACCTCACTTAGAATACCACTATTTAGGGAAGCTGGAGTGTGGGGGGAAGGCGCCAAGGCGGGGGGTGGGGAGGACAAGGAGGTGGAAGGTCATTTTTATTTCTTCTCAGTTCTCTGGGAATCTCTTCCTCTTGCTGAGGGGAAAAGATTTGGCAGGCCAGAAAAGATCCTTTAAAGATTGTGTCACGCTTGATCAAAATGTCTTTTTCTGATATTGGGGCAGGAGGTCAGGGAGGGGATGGAGACCAGGCCGGGAAGGGGAAGGGCGGGGACAGTGTGAGCCTGCAGGGGTGGGGCACAGTGTGGCCTCGCCGCTCCTTTTCCAGGGCTCTGGCTCCAGCAGGATCCTGTTCACATGTGCTATCCAATGCCAAGCCAGTAAACTGATGTGACCCACCTCTCCAGAGGCGGGTAATGGGAAAAAAGCGACTCTGGTGACCGGCTTCCATGTTCTTCCTGAAGGTGAGACACTGAGGCTTCATGTAGACAAAAAGCCCAGGTCAACTAGGCTTTTTGGAACTGAAGCAGGCACCTGGAAGTGGGGTCCAGAGGGTTGGGACCATGCCTGGGCCCCCACTCGCACTGCCCACTTCACAGGCCGCCCTAGGCCCAGGGCTCTGGCTCAGCCTCAGGCTTCTGGGGCAGGAAAGGCTTTGGCTGCCCTCGCTGCTGATTGGTTCTCTTTGGAATCTGTGCTTCAGGCGCCTAGTAAGTCTGTGGAGGGCAGTTGTACCAGAAGCCAGCCTGGAAGTCGGGGGCCTCTGTCCACTTTCCCTTTCTGCTCAGAGATCCACCGGACCCAGCAGGAGTGGGGTCCAGTCTCCAGGGTGAAGCTCAAGGCAAGGGCAGTGGCAGCAGTTTGGATCCCATGCGAGGTCGGAGGGGTGGCAGAGCTGCTCCCAAATCATCAGCTGTCACACAAGTGATACACATTCTCCTAAGGAATGTCCTGGGGAAGCTGGGGTGGGGATGGGATGGTGGCAAGGTTTCTCCCTGAGCTTGTGTGACTTCACTACAACACTGGGATCCATTTGTTGTCCTCGTTGTAGAGGAAGGACTGCTTTCCTGGGAATTCCGGCCTGTATGTGGCTGTGAGGGGAGAGAGAGAGAGCGCGCATCAAGAGAGAAAAGGCCCTTGCTGGAGTCTCTAGTATTCTATCTCAGAGTCGGAAAGGTCAGGGACCGCTGTTCCCACCACTGTATCTCATAGGTGGGGAGAGCGGGGAGGGGTTATATGGCCCTGAACTGGCTGAGGCAGGACTTGAACTCTGGCTTCTGCCTTTAACTTCTTTAAAAGAACAAAATAGCCAAACCATTTCCTATGAAGTTTGAGAAACAAATTGAGTAAAACGATATTCTTGAAGCAAGGTGTTACCTTGGGGGGGGGGTCTGATTTAGTTCAGCAATTTTCAGAAAAGTGAAAGTCATGACAATTACAGACTTAGTTCTCTAGGAGATGAGCAGCCAGGACCAAGCAGGGCTTGAGAGTCACAGCCCCAGGTGACCAGAAACTCTCAGTTGACACTGACTTGGTTCATAAGGGTCCTACACACATCTCTGTTAGTGTATTTGGGAAGCTACTGGGGGAGCCCCTGGCAGTCCAGGCATATCTGCACCCACCGGAGGCTGGGAAGGCAGATGCCTGTGTGTAGATGTGTCCAGGAAGCCCCACAGGGAAGCCTGCCTTGGCATGGGTGCCCAGAGCAGCAGTCACTGCCTGTCTCTCTGTGCCAGTTGCCTGGCACCACACACAGACGAGAGAGGGCACTCAGACAAAGCCCCTAGCAGAGGGTCTTTGCTCTCTCTCTCCAACCTGCATCCCCCCTTTATGAGAACATTTTTGGCTCATCTGTGATGCCATATATCACAAAAAGTATGCCAGGATCTTTCCTTCCTTCCCTTCCTTATCAGTTTTTTTTTAAGAGACAGAGTCTCACTTTGTCGCCCTGGGACAAAGAGTGCCATGGCATCACAGCTCACAGCAACCTCCAGCTCCTGGGCTTAAGCAATTCACTTGCCTCAGCCTCCCGAGTAGCTGGGACTACAGGCACCTGCCACAATGCCCGGCTATTTTTTTGTTGCAGTTTGGCCAGGGCCAGGTTTGAACCCGCCACCCTTGGTATAGGGGGCCAGCGCCCTACTCACTGAGCCATAGGCGCCACACTCCTTACCAGTTTTTATTAGTGTTCGTGCATTTAATGTATGGGCTAAGACAACTCTTATTTTTCCAGTGAAAAAAAGAGAAAAAAAAGAAAAGCTGGACATCTCTGTTAGAGGATGGGGCCAAATAGGGTCAGACCAGGCTCCCCAGCCGTTCCTGGGCCTCCTGAAGTTTGCCATTGTATGGAGCTCCAGGACGACACAGTTGCTGGCCCACATTGAGTTTGCCTGGACTAGCCAGATGACCCTGCGTCAAACCTCTACAGTTTGTAGGTTTGATTATCACACATCTACAAGGCCACAGCTATAACAGTGGCTTTCTCCCTGTACCATCTACCTTATATGAGTCTCACCTGTAAGTGTGGAGGGGCATTGTTTCCCTACTAGACTGTAGCCTCTGGGGGCAGGCACAGGACCTAAGTCATCCCTGCTCCCCAGGGAGGGAACAGTGTCAGGGCTCATTGAAAGGCAGAGTGTAACTGACTTACTGGCCCAGCTTTCTTCCTCCCATGCCACCTGCCACCAACTCTAGCCACTGTCAGGGAGTGTTAATAACTAAGAGCTCCATAGAGAGCTACAGATAGATCTGGAAGCACAAAGACCACCCAAAGGAGTGAGTCCTTCATGACACCAGCTCGCAGGCAGATCCCAGATGAAACGAGGATCACTAATTAAGCTCACCTACAAAAAGGCGGTGGAGCTGGCTGGCTGAGAAGCACTGCTCCGTCCGACAGTGCCTGGTTTATTTATAATGATCAGGGCACAGAGGGAGAAGCACCTAGCTCTCTGCCCACCACCACCTCACTGTGGGTCTGTCACTGACTTGCTCTTCAGGCCTTCCCTGTCTACAAAACAAGCTGGCCACATTACACCAGTGGTTTAATTAGTTTTAAGGATAAGAACTTTTTGGACAAGCCGACAAAAGCTCTCTCTCCTTTTCCCAGAAAGTAACCTCTGTGTGCCCCAGATCTGCAGACAACTATGGAGTCGCAGTCCCCTGACAGCCCATCTTTGAGCCTCCCGGGTCCTCAGTTATGAATCCCCCACCTAATCATCTCTAAGGGCCCTTTTACCTTAAAAAACAAAACATTTTTATACTCTGAAAATGTGAGCCGATAACTTCTAAATCTACTCTTACCCCTGTAACCTGCTGGGCAAACAGCCTATAAATCAGTGGCATTTGATGGCCCAGGAATGACAAACAATTCCAGATTTGCTTTTTACAATCATTTAAAACAGTCCTCTGACCTGGGCCAGGCAGGCCCGGCTGGGTTGGCGCCAATGTCCACCGGCTGGTGTTGGACACAAACGACGCACTGGAGATGAAGTGCTTGGGGGGCCCTGTGTAGTCCACGATCTCATACTGCCCAGGGCCTGGGAGAGGAGGCTTCGGGGGCAGAGATGAAGGCTGGGCAGAGAAGTTCAGGATGGGGTTTCTCCTTCAGAAAAAAACAAAATAGAAAGACGTCACTAAAGCAGTCTATTGGGGAAAGGTCAGTTTTTTAGACATAGCAGAGGCCTGCATAGCACCAAGCTGTCGGCAAGAGGACTAGACATGGCATCAGGAGGCCTGGAAAGAGCCCTAGCTCCACTGCCACTGAGCCAGGGGCCCTGGGCTTCAGTTTCCTCTTCTGCACATGATAATCATAATAGTACTGACCTCATAAGCTTGTTGTAGGGTTAAGGGGGATGACTGATGCACCTAAAACACGGCACTCAAGACAGTGTCCGGCACATGGTAAGAGCTCAGTGTGCTCTCTTCCAGATGTTGTTGTTGAGCTAATCAGGAATGGCAAGCTCTGTGCCAACTCTGATCAATTAGTAGTGCCTGGCTGGACCTCTGTGAAAAGAACTGGGGCCTCAGTCAGGCGGGGTGGCTCACACCTGTAATCCTAGCACTCTGGGAGGCCAAGGTGGGCGGATCACTTGAACTCATGAGTTCCAGACCAGCCTGAGCAAGAGTGAGACTCCGTATTTAAACACAGCCAGGCGTTGTGGTGGGCGCCTGTAGTCCCAGCTACTTGGGAGGCTGAGGCAAGACGATTACCCGAGCCCAAGAGTTTAAGGTTGCTGTGAGCAATAACACCATGGCACTTAACCCCAGGGCAACTGAGTGAGACTCTGTCTCAGAAAAAATAAGAAAAAAGAACTGAGGCCCCAGGGGCTGGATGGGAAGAGGACTTGGTGATCCACTTGTGATGTCTGCCCTGGCCAGGGATAAGGAACAGGCATCCACATTGCAGGGATTTGCCTTCCCTAGACTGGCAGGTCTCTAGAGGCTGCTCCAGTGTCCTCTTTCCAGCATTCTACTAAATGTCCTCCAGGCAAGGCAGGAGCAGAACTAGAGAAGCCCTGGGTTGGAAATCAAGAGACCTCTGCGTAAGAACTTCCATTTATACTGTATTGTTTTCAGGAGTGTTTGCCACTCCCTTCAGAAAAGGGAGTCTTTTTCTTTTATCTCTGGTGTTGAGAGATTAAATGAGAAAGAAATGGCACTTGTACTCAAGACCTAGCTCTGTCACTAATTCCTCTAGGCCTCAATTTCCCCATCTGTAAAATGAGGGATTGGAAAAGATGACCTCTGAGATCCCTTCCAGCTGTGACCTTTCATCAGGTTTGATTCAAAGTTTCCTGGGCTGCAAGAATGGTCTGGGGTGGTTAAAGGAGCCACATTGCTCTCCTGACCACACAACAGAAGGCTCCCTCCTTCTGCCTCGCACTTGAGGCTTCTTCCAAGGCCTCTCATCAGAAGGGAAGAGAAGGTTCTCAGCACTGAACAGCCAGGGAGCCTCACCCCACCTGGAAGCCAGCCCAGCCATGCAGAGGAAGGGACCTGATTCTTGGCCACTGGGATGCTGCTGCCCTTTGGCCAACACCTTCTTAAACTTAAATAGCTCAAAGGGACCCAGAGATGTCTTATTCAACCATCTTACTTGGCTAAAGAAGTTGGTGTCTAGAAAGACAAATAACTCATCAAAGTCACAGAGTAAATTCACCGGATGTGGCGTAGAACTCAAGCCTCTGGTACCTAGCAATCTGGAGAAAGTAGGATGGTGGAGGGGCCTGGATTTAAGAGTCACACGCCTGAGTCTGGACTCCAGACACAGCACTTACTTGCTGTGAGGCCTCACATAAGCATTTGACCTCTCTGCGCCTCTGCGTCAGTGTATACAGTAAGGAGCAACAACACCAAATCTTTATAAGGGAGTCATGATGAATAGAGAAAAGGCACGGAGAGCACCTAGCACAGCCCCAGCACATAGTAGGTGTGCAGAAGTAGTTATTATTATCATGATCATCCCTGTAGCACCACCACGTGCTGCTTGGTGACAGAGGAGCAACTGAGCCTCAGGAAGGAGTGATTTAGGGGCCCACTTACACCAGAGTCACCCTGAGGCAGGGGACACTCCCACTGACAGGAGGACCTTGAAAGCCATCGTAAATCTGCTGGAGACTTACATCACTCCACAGAGAAGCAGCTGGCTTGGATGCTTACTTTTAGAACAAAGGTACCCACAGGAGAAGGGGGGGGAACCATTGCCTCCCTTCTGCTTGTCCAATCTGCATGGAAGAACTGGCTACAGTGCGTGATCAGCAACCTCGTCCCTTGTAAATGTTAGCTGGTTTCTCCTTGTTCTGGCTTGTGGCTCCCACTTCAAAACACCCCTAGACATCTGATGAGTGTACAGCTGGCATGATAAACAGACAGGCTTGATTCCTGGAAATCAGAGCTTGAATAAGCCAACCATTGTATGAGGTCATCAGTCTGGGCTACCCCAAGCCCAAGATTCCCACTCTATTCTTTGAGAAGACCATGAGGTATTGCTTTCCTAGCCAGGACAGCCCACAGGAGGCTGCAGCATGCTAATATGAAGAGTTAACCTCTTGCCAACATTTTTGGCAAGACTGAATTAGAAAGGTGCCTTGCCCTCCATCCCTCCATATGCTCAGGACAGGCTCAGAACCTTCAGCCCAGCTCTGCAGACCTGGAGTGAGCCCCAGCCAAGTGTGCAGCTCTGTGCCAGGCATGCTTGGGAATCCAGAATGTTCTGTGCTAAGATACAGACCTGAATGCCCTTGAGGGCTTGACAATCTACTCCTAGTGACAATCATGACTGGTAACAATTTAAGGCAGTACAGGCTGTGCACTCAGGCAGAGCCAGGTTTGAATCTCCACTTCCCCACCCAACCAGTTGTATGTCCTTGGAAAAGGCTCTTCACCTCTATAAGCCTCAGTTTCTTCATCTGTAAAATGGTGGACAATAATGATACCTGCCACCCAGGATTGTTAGTAGGTTAACTAGTCCTTCACTTGTACTATTTTCTTTTTTAAATAAAATCTGTTAGAATAGAGGTAAAAATACTGTGCATGGAGGGCACAGAAAGAGACAGAACTCAGAAATCTACCCTAGAAGAGAGAACATTTAGCCTGCAAGGTAAGTGGAAATCTTCAGGTGGGGAAGGTGGGAAAGGGCATTTCCAGCAGAGGGAACGCAGGGGCAAGAAATTGTGTGGGAGAGGAAAAAGCTGTGCCCTCTGGGGCAGGAATTAGGACATATGGAGACATAGGCTGAGCCACCAAGACGCCAAATCTCCACCCGCCCATGATTTCTGGGTTGTTCAGTCAACCCCCTCACAGAAGCTGCTGAGGAGTTAAAGGCAAAGCTCTGTTATGGCCTCGCAGTCCAGCCTCATGGCCTTTGCACCCCTGCTTCCATTATCCCTTCCAGAAACACCTAACACCGCCAGCAACTGCCTGCCTTGGCCTATGCTGGTCCTTCCATCAAGAGCACCAACTTTCCCTGCAAACTCTGTTTCCTTCATCACTTCCCCACCTCCTTCAGAGGAACTTCTCTCCCCACCCCATGTCCCCACCTTGCCACCCCCCACCTGCCTTGCACGTCCCAACCAGGATGGACCTGGATTCCAGTCCTGGCTCTGCTACCTCAGCAAGTCTGCACCTCACTGCAAACTACCCACAGGTCAGAGAGTTGGAGAGTTGATGACACCAGACCTCCTCTGTGAGAGCTCTTCCAGAGCTGGCCCCTCAACACATTCTGGCTTTTTGTCCCTTGTCTGCACTTAACACATTAGATTTTCTGTGGTTTTTAACTTGCCTAGTTCTTTCAGGGAGGAGATTGTGTTTTCCTCAGCTTTGAGGCCCCCAGCCCTATTCCAGAGACATTTGTGTAACTGTAGGAAAAAAGCAGAGGAGTTGAAGCAAGGAAGGGAGACCACGGGTTTGAGGCCCACCTGACAGTTTTATCCTCACCCAGGGCTGGTGTCTCTGTGTAGAGGTGGGGTTGGCAAATCACAGATGTCAGGCCAGATCAAACCCAGGGCAGCCCACAGCGCATTGTGACCGGGACTTTTATGAGCCTCATTGCTCAGTTATAAAAGCCAACCTGGTCCTGCCCTATGGAAAGAAAACATCTATCAAAGGCTCTGAGTTGGCCACAACTAGATTAAGAGTGTTTGCAGCTTCCAATGTGAGCTGTTTGCAAATCATCCCAAGAATAATGAATGTCTATGAGGCCTCAGCAGGTCACCTGAGGAAGGCATCCGAGACCCTTGGGACACTCCCAGGCACAAATTCACTCTGCCTCAGGGATTCTCAGGGTCAGGAGGGAGGGATAAAGGGGCAATTTTTCTCATCATTAAAGGGCAGCCAGATTGCCTCTGGGGTGGAATGCAGTATCTACTTAACAGGGTAGCGGTGACAGATTACAGCCAAGCTTGAGAAGAAGCATCCCATATCTAATTGAGAATCCCAGGGGAACTTAAGGTGGGTCCAACGTAATTACCCAAATTGGAGCGAGGCCAACGGGGCTTGATTCTTCAGCTCTGGCTGTGACAGAACAGCATGTCTGTGCAAATACAGTGGCTTAAAAACTCCAGGAAGTAGATCAAGGGTTAGAAAGGTGTCTCGGGGTGCTCCACCTCCTCTCTGGCAAGCGTGAGTTGGAAGGCAGCATCTAAGAGGAACTATTTTGATCTCTAAAAACCCTTCTCCTGACTCACCCTAATTCATTGAGTCACCACAGTGACGAATATTGAAGACCTCAAGAAGTGAAACCTTGGCTGACACTTCAGTTCGCTTCTAAAGCTAAACCCTACAAGCTGATAAATCCTCTTAGCTCTTGAGTCAGCAAGGTGGCCATAGCAAAGGAACACCCATGATGTGTTCCTCAGCTAAGGAGCTCAGAAATGCTGGTGTGAACAGAGGGCCAGCCCTGCAGCAGCTGCCCTGCAGGAGGACTCGGAAACATCAGTGAATGCAGAGGATCTGCTCACAGGCTTTGGTGAGAATGCAAGTTACCACGGGAGTTACCGGGGTCACCTTTTATTGCAAACACTTTATGATGTGTTCTTATTCCAATTCAACAAGGATGAATCTGAATTTGAGTTAAAGGACCTCCCTTCTCCCAGGCCCACAGGGCTGGTGAGTAGGAAGGCACAGGGGTTCCACGGTGGCCTGACTTCGGAGCCTATGCTAACCCAGGCCACTCTCTGTGGCCTCTCCAGGAGCTATGACAAGCACATTCCCTAATCTCTGGTGGCCTCCTGAGCACCGTGGTCACATCACCCAACCTCTCGCCTCTGGTTCTCATTTTTTTAGGTGACTAAACAGCTCCAAGGAGAATTCACATCTACCCTGACTCTTCCTGGGTCTTAAAGCAGACCCAGAATACTACCCAGAAATACTGCAACTCTACCCAAGAATGGGAGCTAAGTGCCCCCAACCCAAGACAAATGAGGCCAGGTCTCCCATTATGTGGACATGTGTGCGAAGCCTGATGGTTGAAGCTGTATGTTTCCAAAAGAAACAGGCGGTGACAAGGCTGTTCTAATGTTCTGCTGGTCCATGTAGCCCTGGAGATCTGAAGAGGATCAGGCCTGATGTGGACAAAGTCTCAGGACAGGTATAGGTAGACAGGGAGGACATAGTACAGATAGTCTCAAGGATCAAACTCCTGGAACATGGGCCACCACAGGGCTCCGGTCCCCCACTTCCCCCAAGAGACACAGGAGGGAACAGAGCTGGAATCAGAGACTGGGATTCAGATACTCCCTCAACACTCTGGTTTTCTTTATATTACCCAGTTTCCTACCCCATTTCAACAGAAACGGATGCTTTTTTAGAAGAGCCCAAAGCACACCAGATTTAGCTTCTTACTTTTGAACCGAAATTACAGATTTCGCAGCTTCATCCTTCCCATGTCAATTTTAAAATATATAATTTGGACCTCCTCTGTGGGTCCAGGCTGGCTCTACAGTCACTGCCCCATTGCACTCCCCTGAGTGTCCTGGCAAGCAAACCTGGGGTCATGATGTGTCAGAAATGGGAAGATGGCTCCCCTTTTCACTCATGGAGAAATGAGA